TACTCCTTTATGCTCCTAGGATATAATTGTCCCCACTTATCTGTAGGGGCTGCACTCAAGACCGCTTGTAGACAGATGCCTGAAACCACAGGTAGTACCGAGCTCTATATACATACATACTGTGTGTGGATTTCATTTTCCTTCTTCACAATTTTATAGGTAGAAGATCCATTCTTACCACAGATCTTAGCAAACTCAGCATATGATTTATTTTTCTTTCCTTATTATTATTTTTTGAGACAGAGCCTCACTATGTCCCCCTCAGTAGAGTGCTGTGGTGTCATAGCTCACAGCAACCTCAAACTCTTACCTATGCTGTTGTCATTGTTAAGCTGGCCTGGGCCGTGTTCTAACCCGCCAGCCCTGGTGCTTGTGGCTGGTGCCCTGACCACTGATCTACGGACACCAAGCCTTCTTTCCTTATTAAGTGGAGAACTTGCATGTTTTCACTTAAAGAAATAGCTCCATATCTTCTCTTCGGCATATCTGAATTGCCAGCACCACTATTCTTGTGCTATGGGATCATAACTAAGTAAAATCAAGGTTCACCGAACACGAGCATGACAGCTGATCTGACAGCCGCGATGGCTGCAAAGTCATAGCCCAGGAGGAAGTGGGACGGCAAACCTTTATCACTCTACTCAGAACCGTGCACCACCTGGTGAATTCTTTATTTCTGGCATTTTCCATGTAATATGTTTGGACTGCAGTTGACTGCTGATAACTGAAACTGCAGAAGGCAAAACTGCAGACGAGGAGGTATATTCTACTACACGGACAAATATTTTAATTGGTTGTGCTCATGCTGTGTATACCCTTTGTTTTCTGCTTCTTTGAAGTACCACCTATCTACTTCATGTCTGTTATTCTGTATGAGATTTTTTAGGCAGGAGGGTGCTGAGAAATCTAATTGAAGACAGTGAACTAACTCTGTAGGTTCCAGAGCAGCACTGGAAAAGGGGGACGGAAGCATCAGTGCACCAGCCACTTTAAGTAAATGCCCAGAAGGCTGAAAGCAGATAGGCTTGGAATGATGAGAGACTATTCAGAGCCACCGGGATGGAGGCAAAGCAAGAGGCTCTGAGATGCAAGGGGCTCATTTCCCAGTACAGCTGGGGACAGCGAGAGCTGCTGCTGGAGGAAGACGGAGGCTCCAGAGGTTGATTTGGGCAGAGGTGGGGAAAACGTGGAGACTCTGAAAACATTTTAAATATGTTTTAGGCATTTTGTCCAACAAAAATGCCAGCATAGATTTAAAAAAATTAATGCACAAAGCTTTTTATTAAAGCATTATTTGTTATAGGGGAGAGCTAAAGAAATCACAACAAAACAAGACCAACCCTGACATGTCTAGCCAACTGGTTTATTATATAAGCCACACCATCTGTATATGACTACACATTAAAAAAAATTAGATCCGTCGTTCCTGACACAGAAAGATGCCCAGGATACACTGCTATCTTCATCCATTTAGACTTCTTAAGCAAAATACCCTACACTGGGTTGCTCATAAACAACACAAACTTATTTCTCACGGTTCTAGAGGCTGAGGAGTCTAAGATCAAGGTGCCAGCAAGTTTGGTGTTCAGGTACCGCCTGTGTCCTAGTCCATGCACGGTGACTTCTCACTGTGCCTTCCCAGGGTGAAGGGCAGCTGTGTGGGCCTCTTTTATAAAGGCAGGAATCCCTTTCATCACTAATCCCGCTTCATCATCTCCCTAAAGTCTCACCTCCTAATACCATCACATTAGTGATCAGCTTTCAGCACATGAATTTTGGGGAAACACATTTAGACTAGAGCATTCTTCCCCTACCTCTCAAAAATTCATATTTTTTATCAAAATATATTCATTCCATCCCAATAGCCCCAAAGTCTTAACTATTTTCTACATTTCTCTCTTCTCACATGTTAGTATAAACCTTCAAAAGAAGCCAAGCTGCACCTTCAACACTTTTCTTACAAATTTCCTCAGCCACATATCCAATTTTATTGCTCACAAGTTCTAACTTTCACAAAACACTGGGCCACAAATACAATTCAGCTAAGTGCTTTGCCACTATATAGTAATAAGACTGCCCATTGTCCTATAACATGTCCCTTATTTCCTTCTGAGACCTCATCGGAATGGTCTTCACTGTCCATATTTCTATCC